CAGCTTTGTTCGGGTATTTTCCCACGTCATATTAGTTGTGCTTTTAAAGTTGCAGCGATGTTTCAGCAGAATCTCATCTGCCATCATCAGGCTTCTGTATAGTGTTCATCTGTGAGTCAGGCTTTTACAGTGGTTTCAGATTTGAATTTGGGGCAGCCTATAGCTGTGCCAGAATGGTTTTTTCTTCATCCTGATTGGTTGAGAGTCTTGGTCTGTGTTTATTGGTCTTAGAGTTTGCTGTGTTCTGCTTGATTGGTGTTTCTAATATCTTCTGTCTGGTTTTTTTTTTGGCTTTTTTTTGTGTCTTGATTGGCTGGCAACATTGTGTTACTTTATTGGAGGCCTTTAGTGCAGCTTGGCTCCGGGTAAATGGACGGCTATCATTAGTTAGGAAGCTAGGTTTCATCTGGGTGCCTGGTTGGGGTGTGCTTGAGCTGGAGGTATCAGGGGGGATCTGTTTGTACCCAGGTGTTTGCCTGGCTTGTGGTGTGGAGATTTTTTTGTTTGTGAGTGCAGGCTTCCAAATGATTGACAGTTTATCTGTGCTGGGTGGTGGTGGGATTGGGCGTTGAGGTAGCGGTTAGTGTGTGTTTTCTTCTGGTATACGGTGTGTCCTAGTGTGCCATCTGTTTTTTTGTAGATTAGTACATCTAGGAATGGTAGTTGTTTGTTTGTTTCCGTTTCCATGGTGAACTTGATTTTGGGGTGTGTGCAGCACAGATAAACTCCGTAAGATTGTATTAGGAGTGAAACTAGAAGAACAGGTTAAAGAAACAATGATTGTTTGGGGGGGGATTTTGGATATGGGATAGATTTGGATAAATGGCAGAAATTATGGACTAGAAATTATAAATTAACAATGTCGACAGCCTATAAAGAGAATTTGTATGTTTTACAGGTGGCACCTACCCCTGGCAAGACTAGCAAAGATGTTTAAAGATAAATCGGCGAAATGTTGGAAGTGCCATCAGATACCTGGCTCATATTACCGTATGTGGTGGACATGCACGGAAGCTAAAATATATTGGACTAAAATACACACCTGGTTGGAAAAAATGATAAAACAACATATAGATTTAAAACCTAAGATATTCTTATTGGGGATTGTGCCTGAAAGCTATAGTGAAGAAATAACATATTTGATTACAAATGTACTAACTGCAGCTATAATTGTATTTACTCAAAATTGGAAAAATGAGAAAATTCCAATGGAGGAGGTGGTGATTAAGAAAATAATGGAATGTGCAGAAATGAGTAGATTAACATTAGCAATTAGAGAACAAGAAGAAAAGGAACATTATAAGATTTGGGAGTTATTCTATAGATGGCTAGAAAATAGAGTAAGAAATTAAAGGATATTGTTATTAATAACGATATACTAAAATTGATCGTTTTTGGATAAGCTTTAATATGAATAGAACTTAGTAAGATTTGGAATTTGCCTTTAAGGACAGTTTGAAATTGAAATAAAAACTTAATGACAATGTAATAATGATACAAGAGGATATATAACGTTGACTATAATATAATATGAATGTAAACTTAATAAGAAATGTATACCAATATTATTACATGCACAAGATATATGTACCCAACCGACACACTGTATAATTGAAAGATGGTTTTATTTGTTGTTTTTGTTATAATTTTTTTTAAAAAAATTCAAAAAAAAACCCCAAACCTCCAGTGTTGGAGCACCCACAGCTTCTGGAGGCAAGTCATTCCACTGATTTAGTTATTATTAATTTATTTCTTAGATTTTTATCCCACCTTCTTTACTTTGTAAGTAAGTCAAGGCGGTAAACATACATAATACTCCTCCTTCCTTCTATTTTCCCTGCAACAACAATCCTGTGGGGTGGGTTGAGCTGAGAGTAAATGACTGGCCAAAGGTCATTTCCACCCCACCCAACCCTCCTTGACAGGAGAAGGGTTATGCCAATAAAGTTCCCTAGTTAAAGAACCACCTCAGGGTTCAAGACACATCCAGGGAGCTGGAGGCTAAAACATACGAAGAACACTTGCAGGAACTGGGTATGTCTAGTTTGATGAAAAGAAGGAGTAGGGGTGACATGATTGTTAGGTATAACATTGATACCAAATATGGTTTGGGTGAATAAATATATAAAACTTAGATATCATGGTTTAAGTGCTTATCACTTTAAGCAAAATGCAGCAGGCAATTAGCCGATTAAGGGTGCGGTTAGAAGTTACAATATAAGGAAGCATTAGAAGCTGGAAAGCTTACTGTCTGTTGCTGTCTGTTACTGTAACTGTGTGCTGCTGCGACTAACTGTGATTACTGACTGTGAGTGCCTGTGACTGAACTGTTATTGTTTGCTACTGTTTGCTGATTACTGCGTAAGTCTACTGAATATCCAGCGTTTGTTTCTCTGGAGAGTGAAACCGGAGGAGGAGAAGATATCTTTATCGGCTGATAAAGATATTGCAAGGACTCTTAACTTGGACTATACTAGTGAGTCTTACTGGATGGAAATACTGTGAATGAATTAATGGACTGAATGACAATGCTTAAACTCTAACTGGATTAAAAACTATTTAAACTACAAACAGTGTTTGTGTTCAGTGTGTGTATACTCTGGGGCCCTTCCACTCTCGTTTGGCTGCCTGGCTTGACTACTGCTGCAATACTCTGCTAGGGGTTAATCCTAAAACCCTAACAATGATAACAGTCTTCCAATATCTCAGGGGCTGCCACAAAGAAGAGGAAGTCAAGCTATTCTCCAAAACACCTGAAGGCAGAACAAGAAGCAATGGGTGGAAACTAATCAAGGAGAGAAGCAACCTAGAACTAAGGAGAAATTTCCTGACAGTGAGAACAATTAATCAGTAGAACAACTTGCCTCTAGAAGTTGTGGGTGCTCCAACACTTGGAGGTTTTTAAGAAGAGATTAGACAACCATTTGTCTGAAATGGTATAGGGTTTCCTACCTGAGCAGGGGGTTGGACTATAAGATTTCCAAGGCCCCTTCCAACTTTGTTGTTCTGTTATTCTGCTATTCACTCCAATGCTCTTTTTTTTTTCCTCCTCCCATATGGCTCCTTACCTCCGGCACGACATCGATGGGCTCTGGAGATGTCTGGAGCTCAGTGCTGATCCTCTCAGGGCTGCCATCTTCCGTCCGCAGAGCAATGGGCTGGATCTGAAGGGCCGGTGGAGGCAGGATTTTGATCTGCAGGGGGGGCGGGGGCTGCTGGAGGTTGAAGCACACCTTCTGCTGCAGAGGAGGCTGCTGCATGGCTTGAGGAGGGGGGGGCTGGGGGAGGATGGTGACCGGTTGGGTGGGGGGCTGCTGAGGCATCTGCTGAAGAGGGGGAGGCTGCAGCCGCGGCAGGTGCATGGACGAGGTGGCTGCAGCGGCCGCGGCTAAAACCGAACGTGTGACGATCTGAGTGGTTCCAGTCCTGGCTTGCAGCTGCCCCAGCTGGATCCCCCGGGAGGTCACCATCGTGGCCGGGATCACCGTCACCACGCCACCTTGCGATGTGACCGTCAGGGAGGACGGCAGCATCTGTTTGGGAATGATGATCTTGGTGATGTTGGTTTGGCTGGCGGACTGAGGGCCGGTGCTGGAGGTCACCACCACGGTGGGCTGGGTGGGGACAATAGCAGGAGGTGCAGGGGGAGGTGGGCTCTCCAAGGCTGGAGGGTTGGGTGGCACCGGAGCCAGAGGAGAAGCCGATTCCACAACAGGGGCCGGCTGCTCCGAAGGAGAGGTGATTGGGTCCAGCTCCACTGTCTCAACTGTGGTCTGGGAAAGACAAAATCGGGAGACACAATTCAAGAACAGACCAAATGTTGTGTTGCTACACTTCCTTGCCCTGTTGTTCTCCTAAGATGTCAGGAGATGCAGGCAGGCAAAGTTTCAAGGAAGCAAATTGTGAAGGGGAAAAAACCATCCCTGACACAATTGACCAGTGGAAACCACAGACTATGACCTACAACAGGGATGTCAAACTCAAGGCCCACAGCCCGCATCCGGCCCGCGGGGTGCTTAAATCTGGCCTGTGCGGCCACCCTGAAAACAGTAAAGGACCGCCCTGTGGTGCCTCTGCCAGCAAAAATGGAGCTCAGAAAAATAGGACCCGGGGGGACAAAAACAGTCCCCCCAGGCCCTATTTTTGGCCAGAATGGCCTCCTGCAGCCCTCTGCCAGCAAAAAAAGGAGCTTGCCCCACCCCCACCCCTGAGCTTCGTTTTTGCTGCCAGAGGGCTGCAGGAATCCATCCTGGTCAAAAATGGGGCCCACAAGCTCTATTTTAGCTGGCAGAGGGCTGCAGAAGGCCATCCCAGCAAAAAAAGGGGCCCAGGGGACGCATGAGGCCCCCCAAGCTCCGTTTTTGCTGGCAGAGGCCACACCTAACCCATCCCGGCCACACCCACACCCTGGGTCAAACACAACCCTGATGCAGCCCTCAAGGAATCAAGTTTGACACCCTTGACCTACAATTAATTAATTAGGTAAAGGTAAAGGTTCCCCTTGCACATACGTGCTAGTCGTTTCCGGCTCTAGGGGGTGGTGCTCATCTCCGTTACAAAGCCGATGATCCAGTGCTGTCCAAAGACATCTCCGTGGTCATGTGGCCAGCATGACTAAATGCCATAGGCACACGGAATGCTGTTACCTTCCCACCAAAGTGGTCCCTATTTTTCTACATGCATTTTTATATGCTTTTGAACTGCTAGGTTGGCAGAAGCTGGGACAAGTAATGGCAGCTCACTCCATTACGCGGTGCCAGGCATTCGAACCTTAATTCATTACAGATTGCCAATATACCACAAAGGCATATATTTCCAACCTTAAATTGGCTTTCTAGACACAAAGTAGCACATCACAGTTTTTCCTGACATGCATATACAACCCCAGCCTGCAATCTGGGTTTTAGCTTGCATGGACACAGAAAAATAGACTGAGTAAACCATTAATTAAATCCACTATGTCTTGGTAAGACCTCACTTGGAATACTGCATCCAGCTTTGGTCACCACTATGTAATACAAGATGTTGAGACTCTGGAAAGAATGCAGAGAAGACCAATGATGATTTAGGGGACTGGAGGCTAAAACATATGAAGACTGGTTGCAGGAACTGGGTATGTCTAGTTTGATGAAAAGAAGGACTAGGATGATAGCAGTGTTCCAATATATCAGGGGCTGCCACGAAGAAGAGGGGATAAACCTATTCTCCAAAGCACCTGAAGGCAGGACAAGAAGCAATGGGTGGAAACTAATCAAGGAGAGAAGCAACCTAGAACTAAGGAGAAATTTCCTGACAGTGACGTCCCTTCCAACTCTGTTATACTGTTCTGTTATTCTGAATGTGTTTGAGACAAGTTTACCTAGGTGTGCAAAATACAAAGTTCTAACTGCTGAAAGACCAGGATGACAAAACTTATATAATTTGATTTTTTTAAAATTCTGTTTTTAATTACAGGTAATCCTCGACTTACTACTACATTATTTAGTGACTGTTCGAAGTTACAAGGTCACTGAAAAAAGTGACTTATGATCATTTTTCACACTTATGACCATTGCAGCATTCCCCAGGGTCACGGGATTTACATTCGGATGCTTGACAACCGGTTCATATTTATGATGGTCGCAGTGTCCCGGGGTGTGTGTGTCATGTGGTCCCCTTTTGTGACCTTCTGACACAGCAAAGTCAATGGGGAAGCCCAATTTCACTTAACCCTGTTGTTAAATTAACCTCTGAAGTGATTTGCTTAACAAATATGGCAAGCAAAATCATAACATGGGGCAAAAATTTTCACTTAGCAACATAAATTCTGTGCTCAATTGTGGTTGTAAGTCGAGGACTGCCTGTACTCTATAAGAAACTCAAGGAAGAACATACATGATACTCTTTTCTCCTCCTCCTCCTCTTCCCCACAACATCCGCCCTGTGAGGTAGGGTTGGGCTGAAAGAGAGGGACTGGAAATCTGGATGGCTTTCATGGTTAAGGTGGGACTAGAACTTCCAGTCTCCTGGTGATTGGGGCAAAGACACCCAACCTGGCTTTCATGCCTATGACAGGATTAAAAACTTGTGTTTTCCTGGTTTCTACTTTGATGCTTAACCACTAGACCTAACTGGCTCTCAATAGTCTGGTTAACATGAAACAGGACGGTATGAGTCCCTAGTGACAGCGTCCACCCAAACTCCTATCAGTAGCCTTCTAGCATTTTTAGCTTTGCATTAAAAGGAGTACAGTGGCTTCATTGGTTGGAATGCCAGGCAGGACATTAGCAAGCCCGCGTCTGAGACCTGAGAACTGCTATAGGACAGGGTTGAGCTCCCATCATTCGCTCCAGCTCCTTGACAGGGATGTGAAAGGAGTCCCCAATTGGGTGTTACCAGGGCAACGGTGATGTCATTGGCTAATCCTTTCAACCCGGAATCGCCTCAGTGTTTCTGTTTTTTTCGACTCAAGTGCAAAAAAGCTTTGCATTTGTTTAGCCAGCAAACTTTGAGTAACAGCCAGAGGGTTGGCTTCATATTATCTTGGACGCAGTTTGTATTATCCACCCGAGTGAGCGATTCATACTTTAAATTCTCAAGTATTATGCAAAATTGGGAAGCTTCACTGAAGCTATTTAGGTTATGCCAAACTACTTATTTTTCTTTTAGAACCGAAAAAAATGTCAAGAGGGAAGAATGTTAGAGCAGGGGGACAAACAGCCAAACCTCTCATGTTTCCAACAGCAATCCTCAGCAGTCTGTACTCCAGACAGTGTAGCAGTGAAGGTGCTGGCCTAGAAACCAGGAGACGGTGAATTCTAGTCCTCTTTTAGGGATAAAAATTGGCTGGGTGACCTTGGGCCAATCACCAGGAGAGGGAGAGTTCTAGTCCCACCTTAGGCATAAAAGCCAGTTGGCTGACCTTGGACCAATCACTAGGAGACTGTTCTAGTCCTGCCTTAGGCACGCAAGTCAGCCAGGTGACTTTGGCCCATTTCTTCTCTGTCAGTCCAACTCTCTCACAGGGTTGTAGTTAAGAAAAAAAAGGAAGGAGGAATATAAGGTGTGTTGGCTGCCTTGAATTACTTATAAAAGCAACAAAGGCAAGATAAAAAAACCCCAAAAATATAAATAAAAGTTCTCTTTCAGGCCAGATTGATTTTTTTTAAATGCAGTGGTTATGAAAGGACAGGTGTTGTCTGCACCTTCCTTGTATCTGTGGTCCATCATGGATTTCCTACACACAAACACCAGAAAAAAGATCATTTAGTGATTGAAAGCCTCTCTGTACTGTTTCCAGTTATAAAAACATCCAGCTTCTGTTTCCTAACTAACTAAAAGCGGTGGCTCAGTGGCTAAGACACTGAGCTTGTCGATCAGAAAGGTCGGCAGTTCAGCGGTTCGAATCCCTAGTGCCGTGTAATGGAGTGAGCTCCCATTACTTGTCCCAGCTTCTGCCAACCTAGCAGTTTGAAAGCATGTAAAAATGCAAGTAGAAAAATAGGGACCACTTTGGTGGGAAGGTAACAGCATTCCATGTGCCTTCGGCATTTAGTCATGCCGGCCACATGACCACGGAGACGTCTTCAGACAGCACTGGATCTTCGGCTTTGTAACGGAAATATGCACCACCCCATAGAGCCGGAAACGACTAGCACGTATGTACGAGGGGAACCTTTACCTTTAAACCCTTCCCTGCTGAAATACTAGAGCAGAGGTGTTAAACTCAAGGCCCGGGGACAAGATCTGGCCCACGAAGTGCTTAGATCTGGCCCATGGGGTCACCCTGGAAACAGCGAAGGACTGGTTCGCAGTGCCTCTGCCAGTTAAAACAGAGCTCAGGAGGGCCACAAGAGGCCGTCACAGCCAGAAACGGAGCTTGGGAGCCCGCTTTCATTGAGTGTTCGGGCCACCACAGGCACCCCCGACACAAGTGATGTCGCCCACCCTGGCCCCCTGAGGTCAACCCTCAATGAAATCGAGTTTGATACTGCTGTACTACAGAGACACCATTTATCAGCAAAGGCAGTTCAGGGCAAATAAAATCTCAGGCCCAAGGTGGTTTCTTCTCTTCCCTTCTTCCCTGGAAGGCGAGTAGAATAAGGGAAAGGTTTCAATGGAGCAAGGGTGGGGAAAGAGGAAGAGGTTATGTCTCCTTACTTGGCACTCTTGGTTGTCCCGATAGGCAGCCAGCGCTTTTAAATATTCCTTCTTGGCGGCTTCTGTTTTCCGCTTGTACACCTACAAAAGGAGAGATGGGAATTAAAAAGCAGGTTGGATCTTCAATTCAGGTGTTCACTTACCAGCCCTTATAGCAGCATTTCTCAACCTCAGCAGTTTTTAAGATTGGGTGGACTTCAACTCCCAGAATTTACAATTGGGTTGGCACAAGTTTTTATGGTACGGGAAAAGTAAAGATACATGGTTATTTTCTTTTTTTTCTTTTTCTTTTAGAAAACTTTATTGATCTTTTATATCTTTTAAAAACAAACAAAAAGTATAAATATCTTGACATTGACAGTTTGTGGCATTCATCTCTTATACTTCTATTTTGTGCATTATTTACAAATATATACAATTTATGCGAACATTAAACCTATATGTAGCTTATCATTAATTCTTTCATCATCCATCTATCTTAGTTCAATCCAATCATACCATTTTTTCCAAGTCCTATAATACTCAGACTCCTCTTTCTCTTGTAACATCAGGGTTAATTTATCCATCTCAGCACAAGACATTATTTTTTGGATAATCAGTTCATCTGGTGGTATACTTTTATGCTTCCAACACTGGGCATAGGCAATTCTAGCTGCCATTAAAATATGTAATACTATATATTTTATATTTCTCCCATATTTCTTTTTAAATATCCCCAGCAAGAATTCTGGTTCCAATTCTATTTGTTTGTTAATGATCTCTTGCAACCATTTTTTAATTTTTAGCCAGTATTTTTGAGTCTCTGCGCAGGACTACCACATGTGATAGAATGTACCTTCTTTCTTCTTGCACTTCCAACATGCTGGGTTCATGTTGGGATATATCTTCACCAATCTCGAAGGGGTTGGCAGGTACCATCTATAAAACATCTTATAGATGTTCTCTTTGTATGCAGCTGATTTTGTTAATTTATAATTTTGGTTCCAAATGCCTTCCCATTCTGTCAAATGTATATTATGTCCAAAGTTTTGTGCCCAGGCTATCGTGTATCCCTTAACCACCTCTTCTTCCAATTCTACATCCAGCAAATACTTGTAAATTTTTGTAATGTTTTCTTTTATCTGGGCCTGTTAGAATTTTATCCAATTGTTGTAATTTCAAATGTATTCCGAAATCTTTTATATCTTTTTATACCTATTTTGTAACTGAAGAAATGCCCACCACTCAATATGTATCCCTTGCTCTTGGAGGTCCTACATCGATTTTAAATTTCCTTGTGCGTCTTAAGACATCTTTATATTTTGTCATCTTGCCTAAAACTAAATTGTTCGGATGGATCATCGCTTCCATCGTGGATAACCAAATTGGAATCTTCATATAGTGTCTCTTTCTAATTTTGGTCCAATTTTGTAGAAGGGAGTCCCTGATCAAATGCCTATGAAAGTATTGTTATTTTCTAGTTCCTGTTTCCCACAAAAAGGTGTGCCATCCACTTTGCAGATCGTGGCCCTCTAAGCTTAATATTCGTTTATTGGTTAAATTAATCCATTCTTTAGTCCAGGTTAGAGTTGCCGCACTATAGTATAACTTCCAGTTTGGAAACCCCAGTCTTCCTCTGCTTTTTATATCTTGTAATGATTTTATCTTTATTCTGGGTTTTTTACCTAACCAAATAAATTTCGCCATAGTTTTATTGAGCTCATTAACAAAACATTTATCTAATCTGATAGGGATCGTTTGCAATAACTATAAAAATTTGGGTAAAATGAACATTTTAATGGCTGCTACTCTTCCCAATAGTGATAATTGTAATTTGGCCCATAAGTCTAAGTCTTTGATTGTTGTAAGAGTTTATTATAATTGTTCTCCTTTATTGTTATGCAGTGGGCAGTCAGCCATACACCTAAATATTTAATTTTCTTTATTGTTTGTAGTCCCATTACCCTTTCTAATTCTATTTTTTGTAATTCTGTTAAATTTTTTGTTAAGAGTTTTGTTTTCTGTCTATTAATTTTAAGACCTGCTATTTCCTTGTATCTTTCCAGTTCACGAATTATCTCCTCCCCTGTCTCTATCGGATCCTCAATAAAAAACAACATATTGTCTGCAAAGGCTTGCAATTTGTATTCTTTTCTGACTCTCGGTCCTTTTATTCCGGGATTTTGCCTGATTCGTCTTAGTAGGATCTTGAGTGACAGGATAAAAAGCAGAGGTGACAAGGGACAACCTTGTCTTACTCCTTTTCTTATCTCAAAACTCTGGGTGTTTTCACCATTAACTATAATATTTGCGTTTTGGGTGGAATATATTGTTATTATATTCTCAAATTTGGTTCCTAGGTTCATATTGTAAATTTGTTGTATCATAAATTGCCAATTCAGGTTGTCGAATGCCTTCTGGGCATCTAAAAAGACAAGGGCTAGTTGTTTCTCCGGGTGGGCTTCTTAATATTCCAAAATGTCTATTACTATCCTTAAATAGTTCCTAGTTTTTCTACCTGGCAAAAATCCGTTTTGATCTGCATGAATATATTCATTCAGAAGTCTCTTCAATCTGTTCACTATTATGGTCGCAAATATTTTGTAATCGGCATTCAGTAAAGATATTGGTCTACAGTGTTTGAATTAATCTATTGTCCGTGCCCTCCTTCGGTATTAGCGAGATAAATGTTTCCCTCCATGACTCCGGCATTTTGGCTTCTATCAAAACTTCATTATATAGGTCTAGCATCAATGGTCATAACTGTTCTTCCATCGTCTTAAAAAATTCCCCTGGGAGACCATCTGGCCCTGGTGTTTGGTTATTTTTCTGATTCCTAATTGCCTGGTTCAATTCTGTAATAGTTATATCTTTGGTTAAATTTTCCCTCAGTTCTTCTACTATTAATGGGCCTCCTTCTTCTCTCAGATATTCTCTTATCTGTTCTTCATCTACCAACTCGCTTTTATACAGATTCTTAAAATATTGGTATACAATCTTTTTTTTTCCCTTTCTATTGTGTGTTGGTATTCTCCATTTTCGTCCTGTAATTGATATATTGTTCTTTTTTCTCTCTCTTTTTTGAGTCTGTAAGAGAGCCATCTTCCCAGTTTGTTTGCTTGCTTGAAAATTTTTTGTTTGGCCACTTTTAGGTTTTTCACCATTTCTTCCTGTTCTACTAAATTAAGTTTATTAAGTTAAAGTGAATTGTTCTCTTAGTCTGGTATTTTGTGGGGTGTTTTGTAATTGAGTTTCTAAGTTTTTGATTGTTTCCTGCAGGTTTATTTTGTTGAGCCCACCTTTCCTTATTCCTTTCAGCTGTATAAGATATTATGATTCCACAGGTATAGGCCTTCATAGTGTCCCATAAATTTTGTGTCGATGTGTTGTCTACTATTTTCGTTAAAAAATAATGTTAACTCTTCTCTGAGTTTCAGAACAAATTCTTTATCTTTCAATATTTGTATATTTAAAGTCCACCTTTGTCTCGTTTTTTTCTGGCCTCTCCAAATTATTTTGAGCGGATTGTGGTCAGCCCAGGAGTTTGGTAGTATTTCTATGTCTTCCACTTCTCTTCCTATTTCTCCACCCACCCAGGCCATATCGATATGTGGCCACGATTGATGTGGGTTAAAATAGAAAGTATATTGTCTTTTTTCTGGATTCAATTTTCTCCAGACATCTATCAAATTGAGTTCTGTAATCATTTCTAGGCATGATTTTGGTAGTTCTCTTCTTTTCTTTCCTTTTTTTCTTTTCACCACTGTAATTTTTTTTGTGATCTGCTATTGCATTGTAATCTCCTATGATACAAATATTTCTTTGTTCCAATTCAATAATTTTATTATGCAACATTTTATAAAACTCTTGTTGATTTTCATTAGGTGCGTAAATTACTAATAATAATACCAGTTTAAGGGCTATCCACACTTCCATCATCAAAATTCTTCCGTTGGGATCTGCAAGGATTAAGTTTGTTTTTATTTCCTCTTTGATATATACAGCTATTCCCTTTTTAAAAAAAAAATCTGCTGGGGCAGTATATAATTTTCCTAATTTGGGGCATTCTAGATATTTTTCATCTGCTTTTTGAATATGTGTCTCTTGTAAACTTATTATGTCTACTTTTTGTTTAATTAATTTTGCTAATGTTCTTTTTCTCTTTATTGCCGAATTTAAACCATTTATGTTGATCAGTAATAATTTCATTTCTTCCCCCATCCTCTTAGTTGTATCTAGCTCTTTGTCATCTGCTCACCCTTATCTCTCTTTGTGTTCTAGTTGTTATTTTTGGGTCTTCTCGTTCCTGTTGTTGGTGATCGGTCTTTTCCGTTCTCTGATCTCCTTCTTTATTCCCTTGTTTTTGTTGTTCCTGTTCCTCCTGGGTGTTTGATTCAAGCTCTTCCTTGCTACTCTGGTCCTCCGGTTTGACTAGTTGGTCATAGAAGTCTTGTGCCTTCTCTAGGGTATCAATTTTAATTTTATTCTCTTCCCATGTAACAAGCATCCCCTCCGGGACCAGCCATCTGAAAAGGATGTCCTGCTTGTTCAATTGTGCGGTCAGAAATCCATAATCCCAACTCTGCTCCCTTACCCTTCTCGGGATCTGTTTTAATATCTGAATCTCCCCCTTGTAAACAACGGGTTCATCTTGTTACCCTGTATACTATGTCCCAAACCTTTCTCCTTGTAAACCTTATATGGGCTTCTTTTGGAAATTTATGTCATCTGGCATAACTCATGCTCACCCTGTAGACGTCGTCCATTTTGTTCAATATTTCATTCTTATCTCACTCTAATGTTTCTGCTAAGATTTCAGCCATCATCAGTTCCAGATTTTCTTCCTTGGTTTCCATGACATTTTGGAATCTGAGATACGACGCTGCCCTGTCCATCTCTAGGTGGATCAGAGAATCTTCCATTTCTTTATTATTTTCATTTATTGATCGACCATTTCTAATCTTTTCTCCATTTGTTCCATTCGTTTTTCTTTTTTTTCTTTTTTTAAATTTATTAAACATTTATTTGACATACATTTAAAACAGACAACACACACACACACACATATACACACATATATACATTTTACAGCGTATATTGAG